CCGCCCACTATGCTGAGGTAGGGTGTAAGCGGGACTTTCAGTGCAGTCGGGAGATTTAGATGAGATGGAAAGATACAGCTTTAGCTGCATAAACAAAGTAAAATTGCCCTTGTTAGTTAAGTGAACGGAGCATATTATCACAAAAGAAGGGCGGAAGAATTGTTAATAGCGTTTTTGGTTGTCTGATTTTCTTTTAGATGGAAGATGGCGAGCCACACAGCTTGAGTCACTGATTTGTATTGGATTTTCAGTGTGTTGCTTCCAGCAATTCGGTAGGACTGCGATTCAGATTTTTTTCCACTTGATATTGGACAAAGAAGAATCTCGATTCCTGTGAATGGGAACATTTGATCTGAGCTCAGCAACGCGAACTGAATGGACATAAAAAAACTGGTGATTCAAAATTCATCAAGAAAATACACATACACTGACAGGGCTCGAAACTAATCGAAATTAATTTTGCTTGGTAGCACCGGTGCTCCTAACTTTAAAAATTTAGTCGCACACACCAATTATGAGCACCGTTATTACAAGTTTTATACAAACTTATTTATTGTATTTGAAATGAACACTAATCAAACTAACTAGCAAAAAAAAACATATATGCAAGCGTGAGGAAAATATGTCTCAACGAAATCCCGTTATCACAAGAAAATACATTTTTATAACAGAACTGAGTGATTAAAGCATACACGAAGCACTCACTGGCCCTGCAAGCACTGCTTGAATGAATCTGTTAACGGTATAACTGTGCTGTTCTCACAAGTGCTGTCTGATATTGCACTGATGCTTTTGACATATACTGTACCTTATTATATGCATACATGTTAATAGCCATACCAGTCTTTTTATGAGTAGCGATATTAGCTTACTCAGTGTAAGTCCGTTTGCGATGGTGTACGTGGAGTTAAATTTGACATAAATCTGCCACTTTCACGGCGGACAGCATTTTAAGATTATATGAAGGATTAAACAGAAGCTCTCGTGCTAGATGTGGCAAACAGTTACCTGAAAATCCCATCCCACAAACTTTTCAAAGCGGACTTGAAGCCAATGGAAGTCTTCTACTCTTGGAAAAGTGTAGATGGTGGATAAAGATTCAGCACATGGTCACTAGTAAGATGTTTCATTAATTGTAACTAGATGGTTTCTAAAAATATATCTGTCCGCGTTATCTTCATTCTCATCTTCAGCGCTTTACAGTTTTTCGCGGTAGTAGCTCTCTGTCATCCCAAGCCAGAAGGTGCTGAGTGATTGACAGCTGATATTAACCAATCATTCGCGTTCATTGCTAGAGCAGTGGTGGGCCAATAAGAAGAGCGCGAAGGCGGGGCAAGCATTACGGACGTGGATTTGTTTACTGCAGCAAGTTGACATGACAGCTGTTTTAAACCATTCCTGAGCGCTGCGTTTAGCGCTTCAAGTGCAGACAGAGAGCTTAGAGATGCATTCTGCGTGAATGTCTCCCGAATCCGCGCATGTGCTGAACATTTTGCAGTAAAAACTGGTCGCACACAACAATTTTAAGCATTCGCAGAATTGCTCCCAAATATATTTTAAGGTCGCATAGATAAAATTTCGGGCGCATATGCGACCAAAATGGTCGCAATTTCGAGCCCTGACTGATATACACACACACTTGTTTATTGTATTGTTTTTGCAATTACTGTTCAAAAGAAAAAATACAAGCAATAATTAATGTATGCAACTTGAGGTTTCAGATTTTATTTATTTACATCGGATTGTGGATTTTACTTATCATTATATATATTTAATTAGCGAACCTAGTGTGTACTTACCTGTACCAGGGTTACATTTGAATGAAATTTTGGGGTAAACTGACTTTTTAATAGTATTATAACACTATATTTTATTCATGCATTATTTTTCCTTCTGCTTAGTCCCCTATTTATCAGGGAGCGCCACAACGCAATGAACCGCCAACTATTCCAGCATATGTTTTATGCAGTGGATGCCCTTCCAGCCGCAATCCAGTACTGGGAAACATCCATGCACTCTCGCATTCTCACACACACACACACACACACACACACACACACACACACACACACACACACACACACACACACAAACACTCATACACTACAGCCTATTTAGTTAATCCAATTCACCTGTAGCGCATGTCTTTGGAATGTGGGGGAAACTGGAGCACCCGGAGGAAACCTACTAGAACACAGGGAGAACATGCAAACACAGAAATACCAACTGTCCCAGCCAAGACTCGAACCAGTGAGTTTCTTGCTGTGTTGCTAACCACTTTTATTGTTATAAAATATTATTATAGTAATATATAATCATATATAATATCAGGGTTCAACGCTAAGGATTTTTTCTACTGGCCCGGTCGGGCCAGTGGTTCTGATTTTTACTTGCCCTGCCAAAATTTTCACTGACCCCACCATAAAAAAGAAGTTAATAGCTATTTGACTGTGTGTGACACACACACAAACACACAGTTGATTTCAGAATTACTTGCCTGCCTGTTTATTTTTTCCCCAATTTCTGTTTAACAGTGAGAAATTTTATTCAACACATTTCTAATCATAATAGTGTTAATAACTCATCTCTAAGAATTGATTTATCTTTGCCATGATGACAGTAAATAATATTTGACTAGATATTCTTTAAGACACTTCTATACAGCTTAAAGTGACATTTAAAGGCTTAACTAGGTTAATTATGTTAACTAGGCAGGTTATGGTAATTAGGTAAGTTATTGTATAACGATGGTTTGTTCTGGAGACAGTCTGAAAAACAATTAGCTTAAGGGGCTAATAAATTTGACCTTAAATTTGTTCATAAAAAAATAAAAACTGCTTTTATTCTAGCCAAAATAAAACAAATAAGACTTTGTTCAGAGGAAAAAATATTATCAGACATACTATTAACATTTCTTTGCTCTGTTAAACATAATTTACAAAATATTTTAAAAAGAAAAAAACAACAAAAGGGGCCAATAATTTTGACTTTAACTGTGTATATATATTTACAGTAACTTTTAAAATGTTTTTTTAAGGAAAATTATTCAGTTCATCAAGGCTACATTTATTAAATGTAAAAAAAATATTTTGTTAAATATTTATCAATTTTAAATAAATGCTTTGTTATTGTATGTAGTTTCAAATAAAATTATTACTCCAGACATTATTGCTTTTATTACTATTACCATTAATAAATATAATAATTAATATTAGTGATTTCTAAAGGATCATGTGACTGGAGTAATGAAGCTGAAATTTTATCTTTAAAATCACTGGAATAAATTAAATGATAAACTTCTTTTGAACAGTTATTTAGTGCAACATTTCACAATTTGTATTTATGATGAAATAATTTCAGCCTTGGTGATCAGAAGAAGCTTATTTAAACATATTTAACAGTCAAACTTTTGAGCAGTTGTGTTTAGAATATTTTATAAGCAAAAATGTGCACTTTAATTTTAACAACCCACAGACATCGTCACCAAAAATAACTCAAAGAGGTCAGACTTTCTATTACAGAGCCTCATTTTAATTGTCAGGTTTTGTAAAAATCGATCTATTGAATTAATCAATCTTTTAAAGAAACGTTGGCTAGAATTCTGTATTTTAGGCTTTAATTACAGAAACATAGCAGATGAACCGAGACTGCATCATATCGCAAAGCAGATGTTGATCTTTCTTTCGAGCTGTCAGTGCGGAAATGAACAAAACAACAGGCCTAACACAACATATTATACGATTGAAATATGGAAAAAAAAATTACCAGATAGTAATTTCAGTCAATTTTCCTAACGGATAAACCGAGATCAGGCTGGATAAACAGCTCTTAGTAATATTTCAGCATGCTTTCACTTTCGCATTTACCTGTAAGAATGACATCTCGCCCTGCTCATCATTCTCTCTTCATATAGCCGTATAAATGGCTATTACACGATCAAAATACACTGTGATATAGCCTGGGTCGTTAGTTCGTTGCATTGTTTTGTTTTCTCACTACAATCAATCCGCCCAATAGGTCAGAGACCGTCTCATTCAGGCGATCTCGGACTGATTGATTTGGCGCGGATGCGAGCGCAACTGCTGGATATATGCCAAACAAACCGCGCTAACGGGGGAAACGAGACATATACCGAAACAAACGTCTATGTGTGAAAGCACCGTAAGATTGTATTTGCACACAATTGACAGACAGTCGCAGCAGGCAGCTCTGGCTCGATCTGGCAGGCAACAAGGCAACACTGGCCCGATTGGGCCAGTAACATTCTATACACTGGCCCGAGTGTTTCACATGCTGGCCCCAGGCCATCGGGCAGTCCTTATTGTCGAGCCCTGAATATTAATTTGTAATTGTTTGATCACATTGACTTGCAACATTGCCTTAAAGGCAGAACATTTATTAGATCAGTGGCAGATGGTTTATAAACAATGTTTTGGGAATAAGATTTGGAAGCCCAAAATGTACACACTTTAACTGCCAGTTTAGAGTGCCATGTAGACTAACTGCTCATGTACAGTAATAATTACAGTAGCATAATCATTTTGTTGCTAATGGTGAATAGTCTGGCATAAACTCTGCCTTCCTTGATTTAAGCGTTTGGCTCAGATGTTATTTTCTGATCATCAATTTACCACTCTGAACAAATTCACACAATTAAACCAACGTCAAATCACCGCTGTTATGTTTAAAGCTTTTAGCTGTGAGAACTTTTAAGAACAGAAGTTTTGTGGGTAACCTGGCCAATCTGGATTTTTGGACATTTCGAGTTTTGTTGTTACAACTGACCCAGAGTCTTGTGCACTTACACTTTGCTCTCCTTCATATTATTTACATTAAGACAAATATGTGACATTACAAATAACATTTTATAACATCAGCATCGTCAATCGTTACTAATTCTACAAATCTAATACCTTTAGGAAATAAATCCATTCACATTGAAACAATCATACTAACCATACCTGTTACAATTTAATAATAGTCTTAGAAACATTGTGGCCTTAGGTTCTAGGTAAATACTTTAATAGTCTTAACTTTTCAGCCATTGTAAAGTAGGTGAATAAAAAAACACATTACCATATCGTCTTTTTCAGGATAAAATGGGAAGAAAGCATGAAAATAAAATAAGTGGAAGGATGACGATAATATTCAAGTTTTGAACGTGTTTGTTTTTTAGAATCAAGGGAATAACTAGCAACACAACACCAGTCAAGTAATTCAACACTTTTGAAACAGACAATTGACCAAATAAACTCAACACACAGAAAAACAAACATTTTTTGTAGAACAGGCAGTTATTTGCATTCTTTTACATCTCCTCATTCTCCACCACCAGAATAAAAGGTTACAGTCTTTTCTGCTCTTAAAGCTGCCTCCACATTTTAGCAGGTCTGGTGTGGGGCCATTGATGACTTCTGTCACTTCTTTTGTGGGGATCTGGATTCCTCCACCACTTCTTCTCTGCATTCTCTTTCTTATTCTTTGTCTTTTCCTTCTCTATTTCTTTAAATTTGCTTAAACCAGCAGAATAAAAGCTTGTAGTCTTTACTGCTCTTCCTTGTAGTCTTTCCTTCTGCCTCAACATTGGAGCAGGTCGGGTATGGGGCTATTGATGACTTCTGTCACTTCTTTTGTGGGGATCTAGATTCCTCCACCACGTCTTTTCCTCATCATCCTTTGTTGAATTTCCCCTTGGTCTCCTCCTCTTCTTTTTTACTTTCTCTTTTTTCTCCTCCTCCTCATCTTTCATCTTGTGATTTCTCGGTCTCCTTCTCTTCCTCCTCTTCTTTACCTTCTCTATTTTATCCTCCTCCTTTTCATCTTCCTTGACTTTCTTTTCCTCTATCTTCTCTTTCTCCTCCATTTTCACTATCAAAGTCTTTGTCTCTCCTCCTCCTCTTCCAGCCTCATCTTTTCATTCTCCTTAATTTTCAGACTGATAAACTTTGCCACTGTTATTTGTCTACTGATCTTTTCCTTGAGTCTCTTCTTCTCCTTTTGTTTGTTTTGCAACTTCTTTAATTTGCTTATTTTTAAGACCACATATTCACTTTAGCCCAGTTCAGGGATGTGGGGAACAGTAGCAATAGGTTTCGACTTTCAGATCGGCCACTCAATCTCCTCCCGCCGCTCATCTCCCACCATTGTCCACCCTTCATCGATCTTATCCTTCCTTCTCTTTTTCTCCTCCTCCATCTTCATATTCTCCTCTTTTTCCATCCTCTCATTCTTTGTCATTTCCTTCTCCTTCTCTATCACCTTCACCTCTTCCATCATCTCCTCAACCTCTTCTATTAGCTCCTCCTCCATCTTTTTTTATCTGTTCCTCCTCCACCATCTCCTCTTCCTCCTCTTTCACCATAATTTTCTGCTCATAGATGTCGTTCTCATCATCTGTTGAAAGAGAAATGTACACATTGTACAGTCATTTTCAGGGAGACATTAAACTCCAGATAAGGGGAAGTAAAAATACAGTTTATTTATAATGTTATAGTCTTAAAAATATGTAGTTGCAAAAAATTATAATTTACCATCAGCATGGTCCTGCTGAACTACTGAGCTGCTCTTTCCTTGCAGTGAAATTAAAGATCCTGCCGACAGCTCTAAAGAAAGAGGCAATCCGGCTCTTTTTCTCTTCTTCGCTTTCTCTATCTCATCTGTTATAAGAGAAAAGGTTGCACATCTTTACACACCTTTCCAAAGTCATCTGAGGAAATTAAGAATATATAAACACTTTTGAAACAGACAATTGACCAAATAAACTCGACACAGAAAAACAAACCTTTTTTTTTTTTACAACAGACATTTATTTACATTATTTTACATCTCCTCATTCTCCACCACCAGAATAAAAGGTGACAGTCTTTCCTGCTCTTAAAGCTGCCTCCGCATTGGAGCAGGTCTGGTGTGGGGCCATTGATGACTTCTGTCACTTCTTTTGTGGGGATCTGGATTCCTCCACCACTTCTTCTCTGCATTCTCTTTCTTTTTGTCTGTCTTTTCCTCCTCCTCCTTTGTTGAATTTCCCCTTGGTCTCCTCTTCTTTTTTACTTTCTCTATTTTCTCCTCCTCCTTCTCATCTTTCATCTTGTGATTTCTCAATCTGCTCCTCCTCCTCCTCTTCTTTACCTCCCCTATGTTATCCTCCTCCTCTTCACCTTCCTTTGCTTTCCTTTCCTTTCTTTTCCTCCATCTTCTCTTTCTCCTTTTTTCACTATCAAAGTCTTTGTGCTGAATACCCTTCTGCTTGTTGTTTTCTTTTGTCTCTCCTCCTCCTCTTCCAGCCTCATCTTTTCATTCTCCTCCTTAATTTTCAGACTGATAATCTTTGCCACTGTTATCTGTCTACTGATCTTTTCCTTGCATCTCTTCTCCTTCTTTTGTTTGCTTTGCAACTTCTTTAACTTGCTTATTTTTAAGACCACATATTCACTTTTGCCCTGTTCAGGGATGTGGGGAGCAGTAGCGATGGGTTTTGGCTTCCAGATCGGCCACTCGATCTCCTTCCGCTGCTCATCGTCCACCATTGTCCACACTTTATCAGTCTTATCCTTCCTTCTCTTTTTCTCCTCCTCCATCTTTATATTCTCTTCTTTTTTTCCATCCTCTCATTTTTTGTCATTTCCTCCTCCTTTTCTATCACCTCCACCACTTCCATCATCTCCTCCACCTCTTCTATTAACTCCTCCTCCATCTTTTTTATCTCTTCCTCCTCCCCCATCTCTTTATTTTCCTCTTTCACCATAATCTTCTGCTCATAGATGTCGTTCTCATCATCTGTTGAAATAGAAATGTACACATTGTACAGTCATTTTCAAGGAGACATTAAAGTTCAGATAAGTGGAAGTAAAAATACAGTTTATTTATAATATTATAGTCTAAAAATATGTAGATGCAAAAATGATCATTTACCATCAGAGCATGGTTCTGCTGAACTACTGAGCTGCTCTTTCCTTGCAGTGAAATTAAAGATTCTTCCGACAGCTTTTATTTTTCTTCTTCTTCACTTTCTCCTTCTTATCTGTTATAAGAGAAAAGATTACACATATTTACACACCTTTCCAAAGTTATTTGAGGAAATTAAGAATATATATATATATATATATATATATATATATATATATATATATATATATATATTATGAACACTGACCAAAATCCAAGTCAAGTAAATATTTAGTTTTACTAAGAGATTGGAGAGTAAAGTTGTATCAGAAAACCTGAAAATGAGAAATGACATTAATTTACAGGATTGTTTTATTAAGATGCACTTTAATTCAATAATATCCCAATAATATTCAAGTGAATATTCAAGTAAATATATTAATATAGTAAATATGGTTATTAAATATAGTACTTTTTTAAATTTCACTAATTTAGCATATACTGTTTCTGCTATGTGTTAACTGTGTACCACAGTGATTTGCCTACTGATTAAATAATAGCTGTCTCATATTTCAAAGGCTGCAACCTCTGGAGGATGCATTCGAAGTGCGCTGCATCATCACGGTGTGGCGAAGACAGTCTAATTTAAAAAAAAAAAATTTGAAGTCTCCTTTAAATGCAGTCACTCGTATGGTAACGAGACATACACTAAGAAATGTTTTCTTTTAAAGTCTAATGACTGGGGAAATGTGCAAATGACATAAAAGCAAATAAAATTAGCTAAATAAATTGATACAAGGCACAAAATCAATCTTAACCCTTTGATTAACATGGGCCATATGCAGCCGCCTTAACACTTTCATCCAGCCCGCAAGGGAGTTTTTAAAATGCTGCTTCTGAGTAACGGTTTGGTTCAGAATTAGTAAATTAATGATGCAGTTACAAGTGAACGCCAACTAGCGTTAGCGCAACTAGTTGAATAAGAACACACTCTCAAATATTAAAATGCACTTGACCGTTAATGACTGAAAATGAGTCTGGCAAAAAAGGTTGTCTACTATGCAGAGAAAGTATTGCTGTTTCTAAAGACTACAACCTGAGGGATTGATCACACCAAATGCGCTTTATGCGCTAAGAATCGCCTCTTTTAATTTATTTACTAACAGCCGTGAGGGTTTTGCGCGCTGCTTGTGTGCCCCTTGCATTTTAACCGCCTGTTGCGCCTCACGTTTTTGCCGTAGCAAACTCCAGACTTTGACACCCTTGCGAAGAGAGGGGACCAGCCTCATTGTTCACATTAACACACCTATAATAACATGACTTGGAATAACAAAGACTAAGATTCTTCTCCCGTTTTATCTTATAGTTTTATGATTCATATGAGCATATTAATACAAGCTCAAATGAGATTGTTGTGAATTTGACTCAAATTATATAATAGTTGCTGGTTAAATGTGTTCATTTTTGTCATAGAATACATTTTCCATGCATACATCCACTTTAAAAAGTTATTTTATCAAAGATTTGTGTTTTCATCGAGTTTTATGATGACTGATCTCTATATTCTAAAAGCAGTGCAAATCAGATAAATTAGACATAATAGTAAAATTTAAGAATAGTTTTTTTTGTTAACATGAGATTTGTTCTATCAGACAATATCTTTTCTTTTCTCCACTGTAAAAATTATAACATTAGTATTATATTTTATAAGAGATTATTTTATTGTTTTATGATGATTGATAATTAAATTTAAATAGCAGTGCAAATTAATTTGACTAGTAAATTTGACTTAATAATGAGAAAAAAAATCTGTTTTCTGTTAATGTGACATGTTTCTGTCCAATATTATGTTTCATGCAAACTGCCACTTTAAATAAAAGTTATTTTTGAAGGATTTGACATGTGGCCCTTCACTTGGTTTGCAAAACTTGATGCCCTTGGGTCTAAAAGGTTTGCCCACCACTGGTCTAAAGTGACCCGTCTAAAGTTACTTTTTCCATAACTATTTTATAGCTTGTGCATTGAAGGGTTAAATAGATAATTAACAAAAACAACACACATAAAAACAAAAATATATGTAAATGAATAATAATGTACTGTAATCCTTTAATATTTAATGCTTAATTTAGTTTAATTTTTTTTCATTGAACAGATAATATTTATTTTTTAAATAAATCAAAATTAACAAAATAATCCAGAATCAAGCTATAAGGTGCTGTGACAAAGTGGAGCTTGGTCCCCGCTGAGCGAGCAGCACACAGCTCAAACAAATACACACACACACACACACACACACAGAGCACGGCGCAGCGCGTGCACACACACATACACGCACGCACACACACAAATACACAGAACAGCGCGCGCACACACACACACCCATTCATCGTCGTTGCGTCTTACCTGTTATCCTGCTGTTGGCAATGTGAGTGCACACACGGATCCGATAGCTCATAGACAGTCTCTCACGCATTTTCCACAGCATGACCCCATTCCCTGTCTTCATACACACATACATACATTATTTTGTCCCGTTTGTTTGTTTGTAAAGTATTTCTGTTTGCCCGTTGTGTCGGCCAACCAGAGCAGGCGGCGGCGCCTGCTTATGACGTCATCGCCGGACGCGGCAACACAACGTGGCGGGAATGTTTTTTTTTTTAATTATTTCTTTATTATGCATTAGTAATTTACAAATACAGCAAAAACAGGCAACAAACAAAAATTCCAAAGATAATTGAAATGAAAAAAAAAAAAAAAAAAAAGGAAGATGCCAAAAACAGATTAATAGCTTACAATAGGCAGAGCGTTTACATTTTTTTTACAGCTTTGAGAGACTTCATTAACAGAATCATTTTGTTGACAAGAATCTTATATAAAGGAGGAGATTTTGAAAGTCAATATTTGTTGACAAGGAATTTACCATTTAATATAATAAAATTAACAAAATTGTTAATTTGTTCATCACCATTTTCAAAATAACAGATATATACTTTTGCATTCAATGTTATCAACATTATTTTTGGCAGAATAATCAGAAAAAAAGTCTTTCCAAAGTAATTGCACCCTCTGACAATGAACAAATAAGTGTCATGAGGATTTCTCACAGTTTTTTTTTTTTTTAAATGAACGTTCCTTCTAAAAAGCTGTAAATTTGGAAAGTAGCTCGTTGGTTGGGTATATTTGATGTAAAATCTTTAAGTGAATTTATTTTACTTTATTTGAAATAATAAATTTGTATGGTAGCAGCCATGCTTTTCTCTAAATATTCTCCCATAATAAAAAAATCCAATAAAATTTCCTTTTGGAAAAACTCTATTTTTATCATGAAGTACTTGACTAATGTCTTTGTTAGTATATTTATTAATTAAATTGCATTCTTTATTTTCTATCTTATAAGTTAAATGACTGCACATTAAATTAAAGGGCCATGAAACCCCTCGGTTTGCTAGTTTCAGCTTGTCGCAAGAGTCATTTTGAGGCGTTGCGCCACACTCTTTAATTAGCAAAGGCATTTGCGCTCATATGTGCACCCATAGGCGTTCTGGTCTAAAAAGGAAGCAGATCTGAGGCGCATTGCTGGCGCGTTGCTATTTTGAGAAACTATAATAGATTTTTCATTAGACCAAAAGAAACCCGGTCTAAAGTCCAGCACAGAGTTGCACCTCGCTTACACACCGCTTAATACACACAAGATCTTGAGCAATACGCAAATATCTTTACATATGAAAAAGAATTAAAATATTAAGGATATAATAAGAATATATATAGGATATAAATATAAAGGATTAAAATATTACAAAGCATATTATTTTCTAGCCTACATAAATATGAAAAACCATTGCTTTTATGTCTTCTTCATCTCGGGAGGCTTTTTCATTTCATTCATAACAATTTGCTTTTGTAAAATGTTATTATTATTAGTAGTATTATTTATTAAATCCATATTTATATTTGTTTTATTAAAACAAGCTTAGATTTGCCAACCTGCAGGTTTTAGATCATATGGGGCACAGCTTGTGTTTTAGGATATAACTCAGGTTTTTGAACACACTTTGTTATTATTGTTCATTTATTCATTTGCTGGAAATTAGAACTGAATCTAGAAATAGTTTTAAAACAAATATTTGCACTTAATAAATGAAATTAATTATTTATAGACTAATTGATGTCTGTGCGTAAAGGTTTCCCTATCCACGAGAGCGAAAGTGAAAGTAGATAATTTATCTCTCATTCTTGCGCGGTAGATGCTCTGTTTAACTGTTTTCTGTTAAAAAAAAACTGTTAACTGTTTGCTAGTGAAATGCTCAGTTTTTCCACTTACACTTAATTTACATCATGTAAATAGCATGACTCTTAAAGGGAATGTGAGATGAGACTCTAATTGGTTTATTCTCAAAACACCTATAACTCATTAAGAAAGTAAACTCAGCCCTTTTAGACCATGCGCCACGGCGCAAAGTGGATTTTTCCATCCTTAAATTATCAAAAATGCATTCTGACGCCCTGAAAGCGTTTGCGCCCTGCGTTTTGCGCTCTGGGCATGGACCGTCAAAATAGAGCCCTAAAAGAGTTCTGCTGTTGATACGAACTATAACTTTGCCATCTGAATGAACAAAGACAGGGCACTGATCGCACCCACTTACCAGATCTGTAGACACAGGACTATCAACACCAACTGGAGCTGCGTCTTTTTTAAAAGAAGACAAGTAGCAAATCCGGATTTCACAATTTCCAGATGCGAAAAGCTCTTGAGTAAAAAATGTTCCGTACAAACATATTTCTTCCGCGTATCATGTGCACTGATTTACACTCGAGTCTAGTTGCGCTGTCATAGAGGGAAAATGAAAACAAAATCTTCACTGCAGCACATTATAAAAGCAATATTAACGACCCGTATCTCCAAACAATTCTTACAGTATTCTTTTTTCACTTCTTTTAGCAACACAACGTGCCGTCTCTCTGCCGTCTGAACACTTTCAGGTACAAACAGTCTTCGAAGCTAGCATGCATATTAATGAAGTTGCACCGCATACACAATAGAGCGCGCTGATTGGTTTGAACCAAGTCTTAAACATGAATGAATGCAGCACACTCAGAGACGTAATAAGGTACTCCTAGGTACAGACAACCAGTCTACAAGCTGGAATACACACAAAGATCTCATGGCCATGACGCATCTTCAAAAATTTGTTACGCAAGTACGAATTTGCTCGAAATAATACAAAAACAACCACTATTCACTTTTTATTGAAATATTTGTCCTAATAGTGTTTTTAGCAGTGTGGGACACATATACGACTGTCAACAGCTCAAAAAATGTGTTTTGGTGTTGTATGACCCTATAACAAGTCCCAAGGGGATAGCTTTGATCACTGTCGAAAATTCTTCAAATTTAATAGGAAAATTTAACTTGGATAAAAATTATTCATGTAAATAAATCCTTAAAGAGCCCATATTATGGGTTTTTGAAAATGCCCTTCCATGTAGTGTGTGACGATCGTAAGGTTTTGTTAACCAGTGTCCACTAGATGGAGGTGTTCTATGATCTGGTATTCTTCTGGAGTTTTGAACAGGTGCGGTGTTACCTGTGATGTGCGTTTGGATAAAAACCAAGAGAACAGGACTGCGGGTGTTCATCCTTCCCTCTTCAGTTTTGGAGTTTTTTTGTTTTCTTTTCTTTATATTCATGTATCATTTGACTTAATTTTTGATTAAATATATTTAAGTTAATTTGATTTTCTGGTTTGGATCTTTATTTGGTTTTGTTGCTACTTTCTTGAGCCAGGAGGTTGTAACAAATGTCACTGAGAGAGGCTTGGGGATATTTTTCGAGTATTGAGAAGTTTTTTGAACTGAAGAGGAAAGGATGTTCCTGCTAAAGACTAGAGGTGAGTGAATGATTTCATTATAATGCCAATAAAGTGTTGTTTAAGGCGGATTTGACCGTCAAAGCCACGTGAACTCCCGTGTTAGGTTGTAGAGCGCTTAACGCTGTTTATTATTTTAGTTTGTTATTTTGGTTTGTTGTTTTTGGTGTGTCGGACGCGGGTAGGCGGACTAGCCGCTGAGCTGCATGTGGGCGCACTGAAGACTAGGGTTGAGTTATTTATTAGATACGGGAAGGCTTTATCTTTTGGCATTGTGATGAAATCTGTACCGCTCTAGTCTTACTTTTTGTCTTATGCCGGTCCATGTGCGATTGGGTAAGTTTTTCTTGTTGTTTGGATTTGTTAAAATTATTTCGTTAAAATGGATCAGTTAAAGCAATTTATTGCTGCCCCCACATTGGAGAAATTGGATTCTCTTATTAAAGAGCAACTGCTTCATTTTGATTTTTAGATAGCCAGTTCTAAGAGCGTAAAAATAAAAATGCTTCGCGAGATTGTAAAAGAGAAATTATTAGAACGGATGATATTAAGTGAGGATGTGCCAACCGAAGTTTCTGTAGAGAGTTCATCAACGCCACTTGCTACAGCAAGTTTAGCACAGAGTGGGTTATCTTTTGAGCAACAAATAGAAATCCTAAATATGCAGAGTAAAGAACGCGAACTGGATAGACAGCTCGAGTTAGAAAAACTAAAGCTTAAAGAACGAGAGCAAGAACGTGAATACGAAAAATTTAGGTATGAAAAAAAGATTCAGGAAGCTAAATTAGCTCAGGAGGCTGATAGATTAAAACTGTTGTCTGAGGGAAATGTAAATCTGTCAACTAAAGATGTAAATATTTTAAACATGAATAGGTTGTTGCCCAAGTTCGATGAGAAAAATATAGAGGTTTTCTTTTCTCTGTTTGAGAATGTAGCAGATGATCAGGGTTGAAATGATGCAAAACGCACGCTCTTGTTGCAAAGTGTGTTAGTGGGTAAAGCCCAAGACGCATTTATTTCGCTGTCGTATGCAGGCAGAAAAGATTACAAAATTGTGAAAGATGCAGTATTAAAAATCTATGAGCTTGTTCCTGATGCTTATCGTCAGCGTTTTAGGGGATGGAAAAAGGGAGAGCGACAAACTCACGTTGAAGTTGCGAGAGAGCTTTTATGTCATTTCAATCGCTGGTGTGTTTTTTTAGAGATCAAGTCTTTTAAAGATCTTTGTGACCTGATAGTTTTGGAGCATTTGTGTTAATACACAAAAATTCAGGTAATTATCAGAGAGATCGTTCTTATGAAAACTCGGGTAGATCTGCGTCATCGCGGGGTGAGTACACCAGAAAGATCTAAATTCCACATGTAGATATTGCCTAGATAAGGGTCGCTGGAAAAATGAATGTCCGGTGTTGAAGGGCAAACACAAGCCCAATTTGAAAGCTGTCGGGTTTGCGTCCACATGTGTTTCAGATGACACAGCGTTGTCTGGGGAAATTCCTGACCGCAGTCAAGATCCTTTAAAATTTTCGCCAGATTATGGTCCGTTTATTACTTCAGGGCTCGTTTCGTTGAGTAAAAGTTCTTCTTAAAGTGCCAGTTAAAATCTTACGTGACACTGGGTCTTCTGAGAGTTTTATTTTGCACTTTTTCAGTTCTTTACAATTAAATAACACAAGTACTGGGGAATTAGTTTGTAGTACAGATATAAGCGCTGCACTAATTGTTATGGTAAAGTTTAAAATCACTGTTTAATAGAACTTGACACTGGTA